GGCTTCCCCGCCTCTGGGGGCGGCCCCGGGGGGCTTCGTCCAGCGGAATCTGCCGGGAACGGGGGGTCCGTGGGTCCAGGGGACACCTGTGGGGCCTGGGACTGTTTGGAGGTCCTGGGGACATCTGTGGCTCTTGGGAACGTCTGTGGAAATGGGGTGGATCTGTGGGTCCTGGGGGTATCCAGGGTCTTGGGGACGTCCATGGAACCTCCTGGCTGGCATCTGTGGGTTCCAGGGATGTCTGTGAGTGCCCAGGACATCCAGAGATCCTGGTGGGATGTCTGTGGCTCCCAGGGATATCCGTGGGTGCTGATGTCATCCAGAGGTCCCAGGGACATCTGTGGGTGCCCAGGGCATCTATGAATTTTGGGGACTCCTGTGGATCCCAGGAGTGTTTGCACATCCTGGGGATTTCCATGGAGTTGTCTGTGGGTCCTGGGGGACATCCGTGGGTCCTGGGGGACCAACATCCAAGGGCCAGAGGGGTGTATTGGTGGCACCTGCAGGTCCTGGTGGCATCTGCTGACGTCCCTGTCCTCTCTCCTCTCCCACAGTGGTGCTGCTGGACTTCGCCAAGGCACATGGGGAGCTGGGCTGGCTCACCCATCCCTATGGAAAAGGGGTGAGCACACATGGATGCAGCATCCAGCCCTGCTGGCTGGCTCTGGGATGGGGAATGGGGACAGCCATGGGGGAGCTCCATGGGGATGGGACAAGGACATCACAGGAATGGGGATGAGGGCATCCATGGGGACCTCCATGGGAATAGAGACATTCACAGGGATGGGCCTGGGGGCATTCATGGGAATGGGGACAGGAGCATCTGTAAGGGAGGGACCTCCACAGGAACATCCTTTGGTCATGAGGATCTCCATGGGCACGGGGACAGGGACATCCATGGAAACCTCCGCTGGAATTGGGCTGTAACCCTCCATGGGACCAGGAACACCCATGGGGATGGACGTGGGAACACCCATGGGTTTGGAGACCTCTGGGATGTGTCTGGGGACCTCCATGGGAATGGGGACGGGGGAATGAGACAGGGACAAACCCTTCCCTGGGGACAGTGCCTCAGTTCCCCTCCATAGCCCCATTTCTGTCTCTGGGGACAGTGGGACCAGCTGCAGAACGTCCTCAACGACTCCCTGATCTACATGTACTCCGTGTGCAACGTCCTGGAGGGCGAGCAGGAGAACTGGCTCCGCACCAACTGGATCTACCGCGGCGTGGCCCAGCGCATCTTCATCGAGCTGCAGTTCACCGTGCGCGACTGCAACAGCTTCCCCACGGCCGGCGGCGGCTCCTGCAAGGAGACCTTCAACCTCTACTACGCCGAGTCCGACGTGGATTACGGCACCAACTTCCAGAAGCGCCAGTTCAAGAAGATCGACACCATCGCCCCGGACGAGATCACCGTGCAGGAGGATTTCGCCGCCCGCAACGTGAAGCTCAACGTGGAGGTGCGCTCGGTGGGGCCGCTCCACAGGAAGGGTTTCTACCTGGCCTTCCAGGACCATGGGGGCTGCATGNAATGGGGGAACAACTAAAATAGAGGAGAAATAATTTAAATGGGGAGGAAAAAAGTTAAAATGAGGCGAAACCCAAGAGTTTGGGGCAACTTTTCCCGTGCCGAGCGTCGAACCGACGCGCCGGGGCCAGGTCCTGCCGGGAGCCCCCAAAGGAGGCTGGCACAGGGGTGAAGGTGGGGGGGATTAAAAAATAAATCCCCCAAAAAAGGGGAAAATCACCTTAAAATGGAGCGTTTCCCATGGGTGGTGCAGGATCGGGTAGGATCCGGCCGGAGAGCTGGAAAACAATGTCAGGAAAATTCCAAAAAATTGCTGGGAAAAAACAAGCAGCGTCTCGGCCTCCACCTCACAACCCTTCCCCCGGTGATTTTGGGGCTTAATTTGGCAGGATTGGGCAAAAAAAAGGGGGAAATTCACTTTTTTGTGTACACCTGGAATTTTCTTAGGATTGAGTTTCTATAAACTCTGCCTGACGGCTTTAATCCGTCATTTTTTGAGGGTAAAGTAGAAGAATCCAGCCCCAAATGCAAATAAATCAGAGGCTGGCATGGAAAATAGTCCCTGAAAACTAAAAATGGGGTAAAAAAACCCTAAAATGAGGATTTTTGGGGTACAGCAGAGGGGGTGGCAGCTGTGGGATTTGGGGTGTGTTCCCAAAGTGCTGTTTCCCAGGAGGGAATACTGGGATTTGAGGTTTGAGAAGTGCGTGGGGGGAAAGGGAAAGTGATGGGAGTGGTGGGATTTGGGGATTTCAGGGGGATTGGTTCCCCTGTGTGAGATCCAGGGGGATTTGGGGTGAGCTGAGGTGGGGAGGAGGGAATGGAGCAGGATTGGGACTGGGATGAGATCAATTTTGGGATTATGATTGGGTTCAGATTGAGATTGAGGAGGGGATGAGGATGGGAATAATTTGGCGATTGGGATTCTTGTTAAGGGTGAGATGGGGATGGGATTGGGATGGGAGTGAAGGGGATGGGATTGGGGTTCACTGTGGGAATTTAATTCGGATTCAGACAGATTGGGATGGGGACGAGGTTAGGGCAGGGCAGGGACAAGGATGCAGCCGGAATGGGATTGGGAATGGGACGGGGGTGGCGCTGACGGTGGCGATAGGGTTGGTGGCACTGGAGGTGGGGGCGGCCGTGCCGGGTGACGAAGGTGACGGAGAATTTGATGATG